TCTTAATAGCAAATGAAGGCTGAAGGCAGGCCTACCCCTCAGGGCTATGTTATGACTTTGGGTGCTTCAGAAGCTTTTACTCTGTGGATTCCCACCCTATTAAAAGATTATTATAGTGATTTTTCTTCTAATTTTAAAATAAATTAAAATAAAAATATTTTCATGAACCTTTTAATAGTACAACGGGCCTCAGGCATGGTGGCTGTTGAGACTACTGGATAAATTGGCCATGCTACCCCTGGCTTATTATTTATAGGAAGTATTAAATTACTTTTCTACTTAGCCAGCCTTGGTATCGTTTTCTATTATTTGTAGTCAAAAATTGTTAACCAACACAATACTTTTTTTTCCTTAAGCAACATTTAATAATGCATGCATCCTTCCCACGAGAAACCATTAATGTAAGCAAAACAGACATTAATTACCAGATTTAAAACAAGCAAACTTTGCTGTTCTATTTCTTGAGTATTATCAGAGGAGGATCAAGCACAGAGCTAGACAATAACGTTAGAGAAGTAATCACGGGCATGCAGCTGTGCTTCTATTTTAATGGATTTGCTTCTCCTACATAACCTGCCATCAGCGGGTGACAGGCTGGATGTCATTCCCCAACAGTGGGGAGGAGTTAGGCAGTGTCTTCACCCCCACATCCCACCCTCAATTCATTTTATGGCATTTAGCTGTTGTCAAGTTAGGCTATTATAGAACAATTTACATCAACTGGTCCACTGCGGGCCTGAGCCTGGCATCTTTATACCGTTAATACCTGCTCAAACAAGCATGTGCAGGTGTAACACTAAAAATAACACAATAAAAGTGTTTCTAGCTGGATAGAAGAAAGTCCAGACTCCCAGCACAGTCACTATTGCTAATAGCTAAGCTGGACATTTTTCAGTACTTGATGCTTTTTGAAGCATTTCGATATGCATGATCTCCTGTGATCCTCACAGATCACCCCCGTGCCCTCCACAGAAGCTATAATTCTCATTTTATCAAATACGAAAATAAAGCTCCAACATTCAAGGAACTTGTCCATGATGTCTGTGTCACAGGGTGGGGTCTCCAATACTGATCTTGAGTTCCAATTCGAATGTCTCTGGGCCATCTCCATCCCCTCCCTCCCTAGCTTTGGGAGGAGTGAGAGGCTCTCCTGTGTTTAAATCTTGAGAATCAACGACATTCTCTTTGTCCAAGACCATCATGTGAGATCCCACATTTGAACCATAGACATTTGGGAGATGTACACCCTAAAACCATGTTTCTTTATCCCAGTTAATCCCTCCATGTATTAACCCGGAAACATAATCTAATTTGCCTATAAGACAGAGAGAGAGAATAATAGAAACGCTGGAAGAACAAGCCCTGGGGCCGTATCGTCCAGACCTGCATCCACACAGCGGCTGCTTGGGTGCCTGTAACTCAAGGCTTCCTCTTAATCCTCTGTCCTCCATCAACACCTGGCTGAGCAGGTACTTCACAAATATTAAACATGGTACAATTTCTAGGATCTATTTGTTAATTTTGATCTCATTGGTCTACTAAAGCATCCGATTGAGTTTCATGTAAATCAGCTGTAGTATCCCGAAAGATTAGAGAAGAAGTTTTTGAAACAACCTCCACTTCACCTGCTTGCCAGGTGATCCCATACCCTCCATTCCCCGCCGTGGCCAGCAGGGGGCGCTCGCTCCAGGTGCTGGTTCTCTCTCCAGCTGCCTGGGCATTTCTGCTCTTGTCAGGGGTGCTGCAAGCGTAGTACCAGCCTCTGTTATGTCATTATTACACTGCCCTCATTTCATTTATATCATATAAATCCGTGAGCAGATTGAGCCGCTTCTATGAAAAGGAGCATTCATGCTGTGGAAAGAGTCTACAGAACTACGTGACTAAAACCATTTCTGACAAATTAGGTATGGGCAACAGAACTCTAAAACACAACGGAAAATTATCTAAGCTCTGGAAAGGTCCCTTCCTCCGATTTATTCTGAAGTGTCTTTAAGTCATTTCCCCGCATTCGAGGAAACACAACTGGATATTGCAGATGGCCCGTTAGGAAGGTTATGATTTATGAGTGAAAGAGGTCACACCAGCCCCACAGACTTCTGCAAATAAAAACCTTGGCTCCACACATCAAAAGATTGGGGAAGGAATACTTATTTATTTATTTATTTATTTATTTATTTATTTATTTATTTTGAGACGGAGTTTCGCTCTTGTTGCCCAGGCTGGAGTGCAATGGCGCGATCTCGGCTCACCGTAACCTCTGCTTCCCGGGTTCAAGTGATTCTCCTGCCTCAGCCTCCCTACTAGCTGGGATTGCAGGCATGCACCACCACGCCTGGCTAATTTTGTATTTTTAGTAAAGAGGGGGTTTCTCCATGTTGGTCAGGTTGGTCTCGAACTCCTGACCTCAGGTGATCTGCTCACCTTGGCCTCCCAAAGTGCTGAGATTACAGGCGTGAGCCACCGCTCCCGGCCCATACTTTTACATTAAAAGAAAATAGTAATCATATAGAGTAGAGATCACTGTTTAAACAATTTCTCAATCTGTATCTTTTTTAAATGAAGCCACCAACTGATAAAGTCACTTTTTTATGAAGCCTTGTCCTGGAGGGCAGCTTCTGCAGTGCTCGGTGGGTCTGCAGAGCTCAGCTTCCCTTTGCTGCAGATGAGTGTTGCATCCTTAGACAAATCGTTTCTGCTCTGAACCTTCATTTTGCCTTCTGTATATGAGGTGTTTGATGAAAACAATTTCTGAGGTTCCTTCATTTCCAATATGCGAGGATTCCACAAGCCAACCAATCTGTGGGTGTGCACTTGGAAAGGAGAGAGCTCTGTAGAGGCGAAAAAGTTTTACCCTATGACAGAATGACAAAATTCAGTAAAGAGCAGGGCTCCCATAATGTAAGAAAATAACCACTGCCAGCCCCTAAGAACATTTTAGAGGGGAATGTCAAAAACATATTACCATATAAAATGTTAATATATGTTAAAATATGTGAAAGTAATTAACAAAATGAGGAAAAACTCTCTTTTAAAATTTCTGATGAATTTCGGAAGGAAGTCTCAATTGAGGGGACTCTTTTGAACGCTTGTCTGTCTCCCCTTTAAACAGGAACAACTATGACTTAAGACCAGGGCCTTCAGGAATCTATACCCCTAACTTGAACTTCATAACACTGGAGGGGTATTTTTGGCATGCTTATTATTGTTACACTTTATTTATAGCCAGAAAGTTTAATTTTTTCATTTACAGAAGTGATATCAAGTTTCTGTTTTAGGTAAATTCATGTAAATAAGCATGTGAGTTGATTTAAAGAAATATATTGATTGAACAATATTTCTCATGATGTGTACACGTGGAAGAAACAGTGGAATCAAATGAGAGAGGGATGTTTGCAGCGGTCAGTCCCTGAGGGCAGGAATCTCCATCTGTTCCATCTTCACCACTAACAACTCATGGGACCTCCAGGAATGGAAGTCACAAACAAAACAGGCTTTCCAACAAATTAAAGGAAAATGTAAGATGTGTAAAATGAAAACGCACACATTTATACTTTCCAATCGCTGTCTCACACACAGACACATACACGCACACACCTTTTCAAAGTGGAAATATGTCTGTCGTAAGACCGTGGGCGGTTCATCGCTGAAACACATTATCCCGTTTCATGAACAATGTTACCACCGTGAATTTAATGTGATTTCTTGTCATAACCATCCAGCAACCTCGCATTGACACAGGCCGTGTGAAGTTTTCAAAGGCTCCATTGGTTAAATCTCTATGGATCTGATGGTCTGGTTCCTGTTTGTCAGATAAGAACCTACAGCTCTGTGAGGCAAAAGCACTTGGCAAAATTCACATCGATTTAGGACCAAATCTCTGCATGCCCAACCCCAATGTGGCTTCTCTTTCCACTGTCCCATCTACAAATTGTAGGAAGATGGTAAAACTGTCTCTTGTTCCTGTCCTTGTCCATTGCTGCATTATCATGCCTCCTGGGAACATCGCTCTAAATAAAAACAGATATAAACAGGTGATCTCAACCACAAGTTAGAGAGAAGTTAAACTTAGGTTACTGAAAATGAACGTTTGCCTTAGAAGCAAACATGAATTACATCACATTTTTCTTCAGTATTTTAGGAGAATGAAGCTATTGATAAAACGATACAATGAAAATAAACAGAATTACACAATTATATCCATGTAAGTCCAACACTCAAGGGAGAACACTGTTATTTTTCTTTGATTCTCTCAAGCAACAGAAAGCCATTCTGGTTGTCCTATGAGAAACAAAAAAAAGTATAGGAAGGAAATTGACTGGGTTTGAGAAGGACAGGATAGGTTGGAAAGCCTTGGATACGCACAGGCAGCCCCAGGACACATCACATAGGCATCAGGGTCACACCAAGAAGAGCTGGTCAGATTCAGCAGACCCGGCATTGACACCAGATGGCATTCATCAGTCATCACCTGTACCCAGAGGCCATACAAACGGCTGTACCAGATGGCATTCATCAATCATCACCTGTACCCAGAGGCCATACGAACTGCTGTACCTGGTGGGTATTTCTATCAACAGTGGCTGCACATTCCCTGTGGACCAGCCAGTAGGGACCATGTCTGCCATGGAGTTTCCGCTCAGTTTCCTGTGAAAATACGCACACACACAGGCACACACACAAACACTCATGCACATACAGACACGCACATGCATGCATTAGAACCCTCAAAGCCCATTATAGACTGTGATATATACTCCTTAAAATTAATAGGCAAGACAATAACACAATAATGGTTTAGCCACTTAGTATACAACAAGCTGCTTCCTCACCCCCATAAATAGCATCCGCATACCTGAGTCTTATTAATTTCTTCATGTCTATTCAATTATTTTTACGGTAAAAAGTAAGATGGTATTACTCTATACCAATGGTCAGCAAAATGCTGCATGGGCCAAATCAGAACCTCTTAATTTTGTTTGGTGAATTAAGAGAGTTTGTTTTTGTTTTTTTACATGTTTTAATGATAATAAAAATGAACAGAATATTGTGTGGTGTGACAAGTACAGCAAGTTTACATCTCAGTGCCTATAAGTAGAGTTTTATAGTAAAATGTCCATAATCATTTTCCTGCATATTGTCTGTAGCTTTCTTACAAAAATAACCCTAAGACTAGTCTAATGATGAGGAAAACATTAGACAAACACCAAAGAAGAAACATTCTGCAAAATCTGACCACTATTTCTCAAAACCATCAAGATCATTTGAAACAAGGAGAGACTGAGAAATTGCAACAGTTCAGAGAAGACTAAGCAAATATGATACTTAAGCAATTGGGTGTCCTGGTTTCTATTAATTAGTCAACTATTTATGGTTTCTATTAATTTAATAGCTAACTGTATATTCTATTAACTATTTAACTAATAGAACAAAAAAGGGGAATCAAGGAACAGAAAGAAACCATTCATAGAAAAACTGGCAACATCCAAGTACAATCTGGAGTGTAGTTGATAATAATGCCTCGGTGTTGGTATATTAGTTTTAAAAAGTATACCATGGTAATGTAAAATGGTAATAAAAGGGGAAAATAGATGAGAGGTATAAGGAAACATTCTATACTATCTTTGCAACTTCTCTTTAAATTTAAAATTATTCCAAAATAAAAAAGCTTGCTAAAAACTAGAAAGCAGGATTTTAATTCTAAGGGAAAGGAAAATTCTCCATATATCTAATCCAAAAAAAAACATGGAAGTCAGCATGCGTTTGTTTCTAGGGAATGATCTTCTCAGATGAGAAGGGGCCATTAGGTAGTAGGAGGTGGCAGGTCTCGTTTCAGGGTTTACACATGGCTCCACACAGAGCTACAGACTGAGTTCCTTAGCAGGTTCTGTAGGAGGTCCTTTGAAGAAGGGCTGCTCTGCATTCGATACGTAGAAACTTGTGAAGAAGATGAGGAAACTGAGGAAAGCCACTAATGCAATCCGCAATCCAATCCCTTGACTCCCTGCAACTGCACAAAAAAGGAAAAGCAAAGAAACAGTAATTAACACAATGCAGACAGACTGAGGTCTACCCATCACTTCCAAAAATTGCTTTCCCCAACAGTGAAAATTCACATACAGAGTATTCCCCAATGACTTCTATCAGGCAATGTAGAAAGGGAGAAGTCGGATTCAGCATTGACTAGTTGAAACTGTGACTCAACAGTCTCCATCTCTGAAAGTGTTGATTCCTCCTTTTCTTAAAGGAAAGAAAAACAGGAATCAATATCAATTGGTTGCAAACCTTATGAATAGTAAGCTGCCCATCAGCCAGAACTATTTTTGACATCCCGCCTGTGGAAGGCCGCATGCTGATACTTGAGAACTTTTGCTTATTTCCATCGTCCCTTTATGTTGCATCTACTTGGGAAGCCTGTTAAGGAAACATTCAAATATCTCCATCATTTCCATTAAAATGAGAATAATGCTGTGGGAGAACATTTACACTTCTATAATCTTCCTTTCTATAAAAATTAAAAGTCATGCCTCATAGATGCTACTGAGGGGGACTAAAGATTGAAACTCAAGCCTATTAACTGCAATATCACTTATAACATCAAACCAAATAAACAGCAAATATGCTGCAGCCGTGTCCGTGAATTGGAATCTGATATTTACAAGCGGAACAGTCCTGGGCAAGCTACTTCGTCTTCCTACGATTCACGGTTCCTTACATAGGACATGGGATGATAATAGATTCGACCTCACTGGGTGATTGTGAGCATCATACAAGTTCCTAGGCTAAAACACTTAGAAGAGTTACCGGCATGTTTAACTAATAAATATCCCCTTGCGATTGTCTTTATTAATAATCAGCATTAAATGCTAATTAACAAGGGACTGCATAAATAAATCAGGATATGCTTTTTAAAGTGTGTATTTCGTCGGGCGCGGTGGCTCACGTCTGTAATCCCAGCACTTTGGGAGGCCGAGGTGGGCGGATCACGAGGTCAGGAGATCGAGACCATCCTGGCTAACACGGTGAAACCCCGTCTCTACTAAAAAATACAAAAAATCAGCCAGGCGTGGTGGCGGCGCCTGTAGTCCCAGCTACTGGGGAGGCTGAGGCAGGAGAATGGCGGGAACCCGGGAGGCAGAGCTTGCAGTGAGCTGAGATCTGGCCACTGCACTCCAGCCTGGGCGACAGCACGAGACTCCGTCTCAAAAAAAAAAAAAAAAAAAAAAAAAAGTGTGTATTTATAATTCATCATCTAAGAACTTCGTCTATGGAAATAACCATTTTGGAAAGAGATATATGTGCCAAGATGTTCGTGGTAACCATTATTTATGACAGCAAGAAACCTTTGAAAGCAACCTGAATCTCCCTCATTAAAGGGATTAAATAAATATGGTTCAGACATGCTATAAATAGGATATCAAATCACCATCAGAACCATGACTTGAAGATAATACAGTATCACGGGAAGCATTTGCAATGTGTCATATGAAACAGCATTTATAAAATACTATTTAACCAAAACTAATAAGTTTCTTACACAAGTGTACATGTGTATATGTAAAATATATAAAACATATATAATTATGTCACACATATTTGTTATTTTAAGGGGATCTTCAGCAACATTTCTAATCAGAAATGCGACCCTATAGATGGGGCAGGGTCCAGATAAAGATGAAAAGAGGAAGTCACGGCTTAGGAGATCATTTTCAGAAGAATATCTGCCGTAACTTGTATTTGACAAGGTAAAGCGATACAGAAGCATCATTAATAAAGAATCTGGGAACAATCCAGTGTCACGTTTAGCTGGTTTATTTCCCCTTGTACAAATGACCAGTTACATTTCCAGTGAATTAATTCATAAAGCGATGGAGGTTGAGAACCGGGGCTTCTGCCAGCACAGCACTCAGTGCAGTGTGATCCTTCCACTGGTGTCGGAAGACATGCAGCCCAACACAGGCAGATTTGAGATTTTCAGCTTTTATCTTCTCCCCAAATCCAGGAGGAACCCCAGGAAAGATTAAAATTCCGATTGCATTCCAGATATGGAACAAAGAACTTAAAGAAAAGGCAAAGCTGAAATAGGCTTTCTTGCCATCACGGATGGGTTTCTCATCTCCTTTATCTTTTAGGTGGATATTTTGATACCTTTTGATTTATAAAAAATTTAGGAATGCAGTTTCTTTTTTCTTTCAGTTTTGTGGCAAAATCCTCTGCTTTATGTGAAATAGCTGCAGTAAAATGCTGTGTAAATTTTATCTGGAAGGTTCTATGGAAAGCCATACACATCAGCTGCCAATGCCTCATTTTGTCCAAGGGCCAGGTTGCAACAAAATATATTTAAATTTAGAAATATATATTGAATTTTTATAAAGCTACAAAAATATGTCTTGAGGAATACACAGTAGTTTGACAAGCCAACACCTCTCTTTTTAATCCAAAATTCAAAAGGTAGTATAATTCTTTCTTTCCCAGCAGCAGAGGAAGTGACTATTGCAACCCACATTCTGAGTGTGAAATGAGGCCTCATTCAGCTTCCTAATTTCCAAGATTGTTTTTCAGCACCCAGCTGAATAAAGTATATCCTGGGAAGAGAGAAGAAGAAAGTCTTAATGAGGCCCAGCTCTACAGGGCCTCTCATTACTGGCCTGGTTATGAGCTACAGAGATAATCAAGCATAGAGGTTCAGAGAAAGACACAGTGAATTTGTGAGGCTTGCCAGATAAGCGCCATGAGAGAAGCTTCCTCCAGCCCAGCAGTGCCAAGAGAAGCTGGCTCCAGAGAAGCCTCAAAGAGCTTCAGGGGAAAGCTAATGGCCCATTGGAAGGAAGCCACTCCCAGGGTCTTGGGAACCCTGGCAGGAGACTGTGGCCCACAGCGCTTCCACGGACTTAACTGCCTCATTTGTAGCTGTGCTTGGAACACATACATCATCTCTGGAAAGGTGCCTCTGTCAGGATTGAGGAAGCCCTGAATGCAAACACTCCGGCAGTGTGACAAGGTCCCTGATACAACCTGCAGACTTGAAAGCCTGCCATATCCTCCCCACATCTCTATAAAGCTAATTACCCGCTGCATGGCCAACGGGGAAAGAATTCATGGCATTTCCACAGCTGAGGCTGTTCCTGTAGCATAGACAGCTGACGACTCAGGCACAGAGAACCAAGCTCAGGTCTCCTTCCAATGGGCCACCTGACCAGACTTTCAAAAATCTCCAGCAAGATCAATGCCTCATTAAATACCGAAATGTAGCCATGCGGTGTCGCTGACAATACACAGTTACATACCCTCCTGGGTCCATGGTCTTGCCTGCCAAGAGCTTGAAGGAGCTTTAGTAAGTAAACTGATATTCATCCGGGGTGGTGGTGTTGATGTCACTGCTTACGGTGAAGGAAAGGGCCAAAGGTTCCTCATACTCTTCTAACCAGCCTTGTCTGAAATATTGGTTTCTGATTTATTGACACACCTTCCTCCGTGCTGTCTTCATGGCTCTCACTGGCTCCTTGCTCAGCCTGGAAACCTCTCTACCAGGATGTGTGCAGAGATGTCAGCCCCTGGTCAGGCATCCTCAGCTATCTGTCACCCCCTCAAAGAGGCCCTCTGTCATCTGTCAATCTACAGTTGATACCCCCATGACTTTCCCATAGAGGGAATTCCCAGTAAACAGTTCTTCTTGTTCTCCCTTCTAGTCAAATTTTCCCCAGAAAAAGTCACATTTCCGACAAGACTTGTTTCTGAAAAGCCCCTACGTGGCTGTCAACTGCCGGTTTGTCCTGGGCCCCCAAACACCTTCTTCTGTTGTGTATGCCTCAGAAATACATTTCCCAGGCTCTCTCCCGCCGACTCAGCAGGTTCAGCCAATTTGGAGGCACTGGTGCAAGGCTGGAGGAGAAGAAGGAGGAAGAACTTCAGTATGTGTTTTTCTTCCTGCTTCTTGCAGCATTTTCTGCTAATGGCTTTGTCTCCTCTGTGGTTCCAGCTCCTTGAGAGCTCCCCTTACCATCTTCTCAGATCCCCCAGCAACATCATCCAGGACAACTACGGCTGTGGTTCTAACTTCCACCAAACAGTCCCCGTACTTGGGCACTAGCAATATCATCCCTTCCCTCTGTTCCTCCAACCATAGGAGTGGTAACAGTTTCTTGCAACTCTTAACCTCTGCTTTATTTTCTCAAGAAATATTAAGCCTTTTTTAAGCTTTTCCATGCGTAGGTAAATAACCCCTATACTAAATCCCTCTGTTAAAATACCTAGAAGGTTTTTTGTTTTCCTAGCTGGATTGTGTCTTAGAGATTCAGTCATTTCATCCTATTTTGTTTCCTTAAGAGCATTTATTGCTACCTAAAAGTGTCCTGTGTGTATTTTTTTTTACTCTTCTATCATCCATCAACCCCCCAAAAATGTCCAGTTTCTTGAGAGGAAACATTTTGGTATTTAGCTCACTGTGGCATCCCAAGTGCCTAGTGGGAGGTATTACATCTTTGTCAAATGAATAAACATTAGTGCATCAAGAAAGATGGCCTCCAATTAAAACATGAAATAAGATGGATTGAAGAGTGGACAGTGGACCACATGGATAGATATGTGATGAGCAAACACTGTAAAATATTAACTTGAATCTAGGAGCTGGTATACGGATGTTCACTGAGCAATCCTAGTAGCTCTGTCACTACCTGAATAGGAGGCAGCTGATGTCCTGAGAAGCTGAGACACCTGAGCTGGAGTCCCAGGACTGCATGAGCCCACTGTAGGCACTGAGAGAAACCACATAAGTGATTTGTTTTCTCTGTATTAAATGGGATTTTGTAGTCTATCCACCCATCAAAAACACACCATGAGACAATTTAAATGTGCCCTTAACCTGTGACTTCATTTTGATGGGACCATGCACGAGTCCATTTGCTTTGGACTTCTCACTAATTGAGACTGATCTTCCTCTCCTTTGGCCATTATGTATATCAGTAAGGATTCTTTTTAAAGAAATCTATAAAACACACAGTCACGAGGAGTAGACTGGCTTCGGACTCAGATGGATTCAGGTGCCAACAGTGGCACCAACATGCTTTTTCATTCATCTCTCAGTTTTGCTTTCCACGGTGTGGCTTTTTGCTTAAGCTCCACATGGTAACAAGAACACCATCTCCCAAACATTGTTCAGTCCATCAAGAACTGGTTAGGGTTCCTTTTCCACAAGTCACAGTAGAAGAAGGAAGAAGCCACGCTGCATGTCATCGTCTCTA